ATACCTTTATGATCCTATCTTTCCTCAGGTGAAAGCAAGCTGACATTTGACATTATTTGCTCCCTGGTTTATGCTGGATTTAGAAGCAGTGAATCCCAGATTGCAAGGCAAAATGTATTCCATTTTCCATCTGTATGGCAGCTGTCTTCTGTTAAGTGGGCAGTTTTTCCTTATCTCTTCCACAACCAATCCTCACTCAGGGGAGACATCTGCTGATAATGGGCCACTGAATGTCACTGCACAACTGATAAGAACTAGAACATCCCACTGTGAGATGCTCCGCCCAGAGGGAGGAGCCAAGCATTCCTACCTGGATATAATCTCAAGTTTCTAAAACACCAGCACAGCTTTTTCTGCACTGGATTTCCCAGAAGAACAGCTGCCTCTTCCACTGCAGGAAGCCTACACCTTTCCTACAGGATCACTGCTCCAACAGAACCACACCTGACACTCCAGGAGCTCTGCAGCCACAATTCCCAACTGGACTGCGGCCAACACCCTGACCAACAGGGTGTCAGGCTGTATTCTGACTCTGTCAGTGTTGTTTTGGTTTATTGCATTGGTTTTTTTTTATTTTCTTCCCTAATAAAGAACTGTTATTCCTGCTCCCATATTTTTACCTGAGAGCCCCCCTTAATTTCAAATTTATAACAACTCAGAGGGAGGAGCTTTACATTTTATCCATTTCAGGGAAGGCTCCTGCCTTCCTTAGCAGACACCTTCCTTTCCAAACCAAGACACAGTGTAAGTAAGCTGCAAGAGTCAGCCGGCTTACACAGCTGCCTGATTCTTTTGGGGAAAGAAGCAACGTTTGTCCTTACACATGTCCAGGTTCTTGCATTGGAACATTAGGTGCTGGTGACCTCACTGTTTTGTTTGGGTTTTTTCTCTTTTTGTGTGGCAATCAAGTATTTCCTGTATATATGTATATTTTTTTAATAAGGCTTCTATATTCAGTGTGAAAAACTGAAATTATCTCCACTTATACTTGAGGATAATATCCTTGAAGATATTCTGGCCATTGTGTTCTCTGTTTTCAGCATGAGGAAAATGGAAGCCAATTCTCAGTTACAGGATTGTTCAGCTCTCACAGGCACTGATCAGACTGTGGACTTACTTCCATACAATTTTGGAAACCATACAGAACTTCCCCATGTCTCCACAGATTTTGATGCTTCCTTTTGAGAGGCTCTGATGCATCACAGGTGGTTAAAAAATACCCAACATTGTCATTTTTGCTACAAAATAATTGAAGATCTCATGACACATTTACTCCAAGTGTTTGCATTGTAAGGATGTATTTTAAACCATCCATGACTAAAACCTCAGAGCAGAGTATTTTTAAACAGCTGTGCAAAAATACAACATTTTATAGAAATGTACTATAAGCGTGTCCTAGAGTACTCAGGTATTTTAGGTATTTTAATAGGCAAACTAATGTGATTTTTGCCAAATGAAAAACTACAAGTTTGGTGTTTTAGGGGGGCCAAAAAGCCATCCTTATGGATTAGCAAGGTCAGGTTTTTCTGTCTGCATGACCTGACAGACCACCACAGGATATAGCCCAGCAAAGGCAGGAGAGCATAATGAATCATGAATATGTAACAATATGGACCATGAAGAATAATGGTGCTGTGTAATACCTGCTTTATAAAACAAGAGATCATTTCTACCTGTAGGCTTGACTCTTGATAAAGCAGAAGGGGACACAGAAGTGAAATATTTTACAGAGGAAACATTTTGCAATGCTCCTAAAGTCTCTGTGCTTTTTCTGTAACGAAGCTTAAGAGCTTTGTTTTCTAGGGGTTTTACCTCATGTGTCTCTTGCCCATAAGTTACTTCTTGGGGATTTTCCTGTGAGATCCCTGTGCTGGGCTGCAGACTAGGCACTGCAATTCAGATGTTATTTGAGAGCTAAAGAAAATCAGCTGGGCAGGTGGAGCAAAGGGAGAAAACAGAATGTGCTGGAAACTTCCAGCACTATTTTTTTTTTGCAGCACAAAATTTATACTAATCTTTTCGACCACCACAATAAATAACTGGGGAAGTGGCAGGGGGGAAGGAGGGCTGTGCAGGAGAATAAATAAACACAGATGAGGAAGCAAAACGCTCGCAGCTGGCAGAGCTCTGCAGCAGGGCTGGCCCTGAGCAGAGAGGAGCAGAAACCAGTTCACCAGGTGAGAGATGCACACAATGCACACTCCGTCCTCTTCTCACCCCTTTCCTCTTAAGCAAGAGGGGGAGAGGCTTGTTTCCCAGGCAAAGAGAATGATAAGACTATTAATAATACCTTCCTCTGCCAGCTAATAATCTCAAAGCATTTCACAATCATTAATTAATCCCTGCACAAGTGGGGTGAGGTGGGGACAGTCAGTGTCATTATCCTTGCTTTAAAGCATCGAATTTTGAGGATGAACATCTGCCAGAGCAGTCATCTGCTTCCCCCCACCCCCATCCCCTGGCTAGGTTTCCCCTCGGGGCTCAGCTGTCCCTGCCTGCTGCATGGCTGGCACTCCTGCAGGCCTTGTTTTTGCAGACCCTTGTGTTCCCATCCTCTGCAGGCTGTGTGTGCAGTGCCTCCCCTCCCCACCCTTATCCTCCAGAGCTTTCTCCGGGGATCGGCTCAGCCGGAGCCAGACGGGGCTGCCAGGATATGCCGGGCACTGCGTGTTATCGGCTTCCCTGCATGGCTGGCAGGTGATGAGCCCGATCAGCTCCTTCCCTCTCCCGGCCCTCGCTCGGGGTTCAGGGCAGCCACCCCCTGCGTGCCCCACTGCTCCTGCTGCAAGGAGGGACAGCCCTAAGCACCTCCCTGCGTGCTGCCCGACTTACCATCTCATTGTAGGCATCCCTGCTGAGCCGGGGGGTCAGTTTGATCGTCCCCATAAAGACGAAGAAGAGCCCCAGGGCCACCGAGAGGGCGACAATGGTGATGGTCCTGGGAGATGCCATAGAGCCGCAGGGATCCGCTCCTAGCGAGGCCTGGTGGCTCTGGCTGCCAGCCCGGGTGGGAGGGAGTCCGTCACCATTGAAGGCTGTAGGAATAAAGCTGCAGAGGCAGGAGGATGACAGCGGGAGGGGATTCAGCCTCCTCCACTCAGCAACCCCTGGGTCCTAAAGCCCTGCAGCCAGAGCTAGGCAGCTCCAGCACTGGAGCGCAAGGGGAACTCATGCTGTTTCTTTGCGTGTTCCATAAATCACCCACAGAAAGCCGAAACCGAGTCAATTCTAGGGATGTGGGATGGCAGCCAAAGGCAGAGCACAGCTATTCATTAGTGGGAAAACAAGGACGTGTTAGCAGAGGGCACAGGAGTAACGTGCTGTGGAGGAGAAGTGGGCAGGGGTCTCTTATACATAGAGAATTTTCAGTTTCAGATATTCCGATGCTCATACATAGCAAACAACGTATTGCTTCATTTATTTGCATCAGGAAAGAAAAATAAATGTTTTGTCCCTGTGGCTCTCCTGGAACCTGATGCTCAAATGGGAAGGTGAGGCCACTTGTATGACCCTGATAAAACTTATCCTGTATGTTCAGCTATCCAGAGGCTAGTGGAAATGTTTTATGATCCTCTGTTACTTTCTGCTTTAAAGTCATTGTGTCCCCTACAATTAATGCAACAAATTTCCTTTTGACCAAAACCTAGCAGAAATCTATTCAGATCTCACAGTGAGAAACCAAGGCATAATTACATGAAACAGAACTGCTGTAATGTTGCATCCTTTGGTATAAAATAAAAGCGAGAGGCTGCAACAGTGTGTAAAGAACTATATTCATGGGCTAGTGCAAGAATGACACTTCCTATGCCTGTCAGGAATCTCATCATTACTCCCTTTATGGTGTAGTAATTCTTAAATCCTAAACACTTGTATTTTGAGCCCCTATGACTTGAGAACTGGTTGCTGTTAATATTCAAAGCTGAGGTCTGGAATGAAAAGTCTGAAAAATACAGGCAGTTCTCCCAGTTTCCTTGGGAGTTTATCAGCTTTGATTCAAAATATAATGAGACTCACACAACACAAGGGAACTCTGCTCATTTAAACTCCCCTCCACATTACAGCAGCTCCATCTCTGAAGAGCTGGAGAAATACAGCACTGTGAGAAGAACAGGACAAATACAAAACAGAAGACAATTTTTAACTAACTATTGCAGAACATCCTGAAGAAGAAAAATATTGCAGCTGACATTTTCACAGGGCACTTCATATTTAGGTATCAGCAATCATTAGTGGAGAAGAGGGAGGCAGATGTGAAAAGAGAGACACTGAAATCTGTTCTCTTTACTTCATTTTATAGAAAAATCTCATTGTTGAAGCTGGTGCCTCCTCTGGGCAGGGACCCCAACAAAGGAATCCCTGGGCTTTCATACTCTTCCAACCTAAATCTCCCACAACCGCTCTGACCAGTGGAAAATTAGAGTCTGGTGTCTTCTCATTATTCATTGGTTTGTGCAGTTTGTGGGTGAGAAGCCATCCACACCCAGCCAGGGCTGGAAGTCCTGTGTCCTTTGTCAGGCACAAGGTCAGTGCCCAGTCACAGCTCCTTGCCTGGGGCTCCAGCGATTTCCCACTATCCAGGGCAAAATTTGCAGCTTGAACACGGAGCTACATATTCCTCAAAACAGGGAGAGTGTCTTTTCCAGGCTGCTTTTACTAGCAGCCCAAGGTTTGCAGGGGAAGGAAGGGTGAGGAAATGCTACAGAGAACCTTTTCACCCCAGAAATCCAAGTAGTTCTTCACAGAACAGTGTTGCTAGGCAACCCAAAGTAAGAGAAAAAACAAAATTATTTATTTTTATACAACTGCACAGAAAATAAGTTAAAATCCTAACTCCATTGGCTCTTCAGTACAGGAGGAGGTTGCTTCCCAAGCTCTCAGAGCTCATTCCTGCCTTCTTGTCAGCGGGTGAACAGCAGCACCAGCTCGCAATGAACAGTGTGGGGAAACATGTCAAAAGGAATAGCCAGCACGGGGACAAATGGCTCCCCTGCCAGCTTCTTCTGTGGGTCAGGTGGGCAGCACAGCCTGTGGAAAGCAAAGAGCATCCTTTAGACCAGTTGCAGAAGCCTTCCCACCACTGCTATCACAATCCAAGGGGGACCCACAAAGGAGGTACCATGTGTTTGACAAACACTCCTCAGAATCTTCAGCTGACACTGGCTGAGGTATGGAACCATCAATACTGAATCCCCAGCCAGCTCTGAAAAGCTCAGGGACAAGCTGAACAGTCAGTGGCAACTTCAAAGCTCCTTTTCTCACAAGCCATGCCAGCTGAAAGACACTCAGTTTTCAGTTTTGCACTGCCCTTATGGCTGCCTGCAGACAGATTTATCACCTGGGTCTACCCCGGCTAAAGAGTGACCAGATAAAACTACATGGTTAACCCTAAGCAGGTGACAAATCCCCTTGGCTTCACCTCCTTGGCAAGGGGCCAATCTTCCTGCAGTGCACCCAATAGTCTCTGTATCTCACATCCAGATGTGCTTTTTCTTTCCTGATGCCTTGCCTGGACTCAACAGGGTCTGTCACTGAGATCAAGAGAAAGGAGGAGGGTGCTCACTCGAGGAAGTTCCTCATGGCTTCACCCTCTGGCTTGCAGGAGATGTAGAGCAGCCTGCGGATGGACCTGCAGTTCCGGATGGCCCGTACAACCCTGTGATCTGCAAAAACAGACAGCCTGCTTTCCCACCACCACCCTGACATCTCCAGAAGGAAATAATTGCATATCATCACAACTGTCAAAAATGCATATTTTGCTATGTTCTGTCTCAGATGGAGTCCCTCAGGAGGCCACGGGTACGACCCACACTGCTGAGAGCTTAGCCAATTTGGCAGGCAGGGCAGAGCAATGGGGAAATCCCTCTGCTTCCCAGGAGGATGGAGGATGACAGAATAAATGTTAATTAAGCAAAGGCATATGAAACCTTCCACACACTTGTGAGAGTGCATCTGGGCACCAGGACCAGTGTGTGACTTCCCACTACACACTCCAGGGGAGACCACTGAGACAGTTTGAGGGCTGTGTTATGCCACCTGGGGGAAAGAAAAGCAAAGATCCGTTTACTATCTTCAGGGATCTCATGGGGGATTACAGATAACTGAGAAACCTCTCAAACGGGCATGAGAAGAGGTTGAGAAGCAATAGATGTATGGCAGCAAGGAAAATACTGATTAAATATATTAGGGAAAACATTTTCAGGAGAGGAGACACACCCTTGGATACATTCAGACCTCAGCTAGGCTTTATATCCCTATGCAACCTCATACAACTCTGAAGTTGGCCTTGCTATAGTTGTGAGATTGCACCACAGACCTCCAGAGGTCCCTTCTCTCTTATATAATTGTGTGAGTCTGTGAAAGATGGAAAAAAGATTAGAGCTAAAGAGAAAGCATGATGAAGGCACTGAAAACAGCAGACTTACGGGATTTTAGCTGCTGTCAGCAATAAGAAATGAAACATTAAGCAAGGGAAGGGTTTGGAGCCAGTATAACAGGTCTCACAGAACTTGTTCAAAACTCTCTGTTTACAAGATGAAAATAAATAGCATTTTCTCTCACGTAGGCCAGCCCGAGAAGGGTTCACCACAGCAACAAGCGGTCGGGCATCCTCCCACAATGCCAAGAGCTGTGGTAACACAGCCTCTGCCTTTCCACTGTGAAACTCACAGTTTGAGATCCCTGTGAAACAAAAAAGCAACCACATGAACTGAGTCTCACCAAGAGTTAGGTATAACATGAACCACCCTTTGCTGTGTGAAGGCAACTGGTTAGGGTTCCTCTGCTCACTTCTACTCCAATTTTTCAGCATTTAGTTTGAGACTTTTTGCCACAGTGAGTTTGAACTCACCATTGAATGCTGCATTCCACTCAGCGTCCTCTATTGCCTTCTCCACCACCTCAACACCAATAACTTTGGACACTTGGTGAGCCAGAGAGAGACCAATTGTGCCTGGAAGCACAGGAAACAAAAATACTCCATACATTCATGCTGAAGAAACAGGCCTTTACGTAGCTTTGCATTCCAGAGCACAGGATCTGCTGTGGAATGCAAAGCTCTGGGAGCCCAGGACCCCACCTGTTCCACAGCAGATGTCAAGGAGGACAGTGTCCCCAGTAGCCTGGCAGAGCTCCCCAACTGCCTGGTACAGAACTTCTGCTCCAGCTGTGTTGACTTGGAAGAAGGCGTCTGGAGAGATGCGGAACTTCAGGCCGTGCAGCTCTTCAAAGATGTGCGGTGCTCCGTGGAGGAGCTGGTACGGGGACTGCTCGTGGGAGCAACGTGTCATGGTGCTGGCAGATCACACAAAAAACAGCTGTTGGAAAGCAGCAGAGAGCAGTTTCCATTCCCAGGGTGCTCATGGGCAGTAGAGGATGGTTCATCCCCCAGCAACTTATATTTCATGTGAGCCTTTCAACAAGATTAAAGCATTTTGATTATTTGTAAAGGATCTGTGATTTGCATAGCCTAAATTTTATTAAAAGGATCAAAATGACTTAGCAGAAGGTAGCATTCCTCAGGTCTATTCCCCAATTTTGCTGCTAATGTGATTTACTGTCTTGGGATAGTCACTGGAAGTTTTTTCTTCAAGATTCCCAGACTCATAATTCCCATGAGGTAGAGCCATAGTGTGTTCAAATAAGTCTGGAAAAATAAAAGAGGGGGCCATCTTAAAGCCATATCTTCAAGAGGGATCCAAACATCTCTCATTCTCTTCCAGCACTCCCTGAACTGGTGGAATTTGAATTTGATCAGAAAGGATAGAAAAAGGAGGTGGTTTTGTTTCCACTTATTTCCCCCGTCGAGACATTCACCTCTCTTGGAAATAAAGTGATGTCAAGGCACAGACTGCTCCAGGCCCACATGTGAAGAACTCCTTCAGTAATGCTTTCTGAGTAGCCAGTGCCTCCTATCAAGAGTGAGAAAGGAAAAGCTGCCTCTTTGGATAACCTGATTAAACCCCTCTCCCCAGCAACACACCAGCAGGCTCAGCTCAGCCAGATGTGCCTCTTGCCCTGTCCTCCCCATGCTCACCTGGCCCAGCTGCTGGGGGTGGAAGGTGATGATAGCCATAGTGTGGCCACAGCGAGTGGTACGAACCACGAGCTCCCGCCAGTGTCCACCTTCATGGAAGAGGATGCACGAGTCCAGAGGGGACTGACAGATGAACTCCTCATAGCACTGAGGGGAGGGGAAATGCCACCTTTAGTGTGGGAATCCAGGGCTTCCCTCTGGCTGCCCTGGCAGGTCTGGGACCCTGGCAGGGGTCAGGAACCCCCCTGGACAGAGCCCCCAGAGACACTGGCTGTGATCTCTGTCCATGGAAAAGAGTTTTCAATCCTACAGGATGAATTACAAGCTCTGAGTGTTTGATATAAGTAATAATTAAGTGTGGCACAGGTGCAAAAGTAGAATTTTAGAATTCTAGATAAGGAGTTCAAAGGAGGCAAGATGGAGGAATTGGGTGTGCCTTGTCCTTTTTCTCCTTCTTCATGCCCTCCATGTTTCACTGTGGTGTTGGCATTTTTCTGTTGGTTCAGGCTGGGGACACACTGTCCAACGTAGGTGACAGATATTGGCACGTTATTGTAAATCCAGCACAGGTAGTTTGTGGTATTTAATGTTTGTACCATCCCACTGAGGGCAGAGCCCCACACGCTGCCCTGCAGGACAGAGCTGCGGCAGGGCAGCAGAACATGTTAGAGATAAACAGAATAAACAACCTTGAAACCAGCACAGACGAATTATGGCTTCTTCTTTGGCAGCGGGGCAGAAAGACAGAGACTTTCTACAATCTTGGGATCATTTAAATACCACAGATTCCGACACTTTAGTACCATGAAGACAACTGCCCTGCTCTTAGCCCCCCAGACAGGCAGCCCTTCCACCACTGTGGCCTGTTGTTTTTGTTTGATTTCAATACACTGGGTGAACGCTCCTTCCAGGCTTTTGAAAGACAACACATTTTAATAATATCAATTTGCAATTCTTATGTATCAGGAATTCATTGTCACTTGATTAACTTCATTACTCAGGACACTTTATGGGCGGCAATGTTGACATGTCGGTTTTTATAAAATTATTTATTCATCAACTATAATCAGGCATGAAAACTTTCAGAACATGCAAATGGACTTGAAAACATTGCATCATTAAAATTACAGTGTTCTCCTAAGTAAGAGTTATTGCATTCTCTCTATTCCACAGTGAAGGGACAGACATAACTTATTTATTTACCTGGGCTACTTGTTTGTGTTTTGAGGGTATGTTCTCCACATGGTTGGCTTTCACACAGACAATATTTCTTTCTGCAGAGAGATGGACAGGAATTTAATTGCTCTGGTTCAGGGCACATAAACCACTTTAGCATCTGACATGATAAACTGTGGAGAGACCTTTCCCCATTTCCACAGCCCATGCCAGCAGTTTTCTCTGAGTTTCTTGTCCTGCACTGACCTCTGCCAGTTCCTACATACATCCCCACAGTTTTGGGGTTCCCATCTGGTCCTCGGTTCACTGAGAACGTTGATTTGTTTCGGTAGCCACTAATGATGGGCTGAGGGAGAAAAGAAGGAAAAGCAAAGTCTTGGATGAAAAGAAAAAACAATGGAGGAAAGCCAAACCCCAGCCTGGTTATTCTGTTGCCAACATGGGAAGATGTATATGAATGGGCAAAACACAGAAGCAGAGCTTGTGCTCAAGAAACCTTAGTACTGCCCCTCAGGGACAAGAAGTGGCTCGCTGTGACAATGGTGACAGGTTTGAAAGGGAGGCCTTAGGCACAAAAAATGGGTTCCTAAGCACTGGGCTTATTTCACTCTCAGGCAGTCACAAGCTGCAAAGCACAAGTTAGCAAGGACTGACCCAGACACGCTCTCTGCAAGCAAATGATGCCCCCCATGAGACTCTTGAGCTGTTGAGTGAGAGACTGTTGGTGGCTCAGAAGGAAGAGCATTCCCATGGGACACTCACCGAAGGGACTACAGGCTGCAGAGGACAGCAGAGCCCACCAGGTTTCTGTGCATCTATGCCCAGCTCCTCAAGACGAGATGCCAGTGTCTGCAAAATCTTCTTCTGGCTTTCATACTTTACCTGCAGAGGAGTTCTAAGGCAGAAACACTCTCACAGGACCACACGATGGTGGGCAGCTCTTCATCACCCACCTCTGAGGAGTCCAACAGGAGGAAAAACTGCAACTGAAAATATAGCCCCGGAGGAACTCTGCCCTTTTCATAACAACAGCTGCTTGGAGAAAGAGGAAGAAAGAAAACTCCTGTGTCTATGATCCCCAAATGCTGGCCTGGAACACTCTGTCTAACCTGAAGCCCCAGTGAAGCAAAGCAGTCCCACAGAAGACAGGATCACTGTGCAAATGCCCATCCCCTGTACTACAAGGAACTTTGCAGTTCTGTCTTTCACAACAACAGGATTAAAGCAGCCGTAAATGGATTCTGAACAGTTTGCACCATTAAAATGCTAGGGACTACTGCTCAAGGGGATAGGAGGGACAGCTGGGGCAACACAACAGAGAAAAGTCTGTGTAAACACATCTTACCTGTAGCTGCTCTTGGTAGGAAAGTCTCCACAGTGGTGTCACTGCATTTGCTAACCTGGAAAGCACAAGGCAGAGCCCAGAGCTACTCGAGTCCTGATTCCTATGGCATAACATCCCTGCCAGCTACTTCATAGGCAGGACTGTTCTGGTGTGAGCTCTGCACCAGGCTGTGAACATCCAGACTCCCAGGGAACCACAATGAAATGCGCAGGTTTGTGTGTAGCAGGAAGGAATTTCAAACGGCCCATACTCTCTGACCCGGCCACCCACACAGAAGTAGTTTAGAGATAAACCTCAGAACTTGCCACTACTTATAGCCAAAGCATAACAAGCAAGAACAAAATACATAAAAGCTGGTTTAAAAAAAAAAAATAGAAAAAAAAGACACATAGACACATATACACTAAAAAGACTCCCCAAAAAGAGGTGAGGCTGATATGATGATATTATTCAAGCACTCATAACTGAGTGTCTGAGCCCATGGGGAACACCACCCTGCAGCTAGGTAAGCTGCAGGTATTGCTTACCTACGATCTTTGGAGTTGCTTCCAAAGCACCCAGTGCCAGATACTGCGAATCAAATGGACTATCGCTTTTTGCTTGCCAATATGGCAACTTATCTGCTCCTTTCCTCTCAGAACTTTTCATTTGTCTCCTCCACTATCCCCTCCTCAGGCCAGACTCCAGACAAACAAGCTGAGCTTTGGCTCTTCCATTTCTACCGGGTGGAAGTAACCCCCCCCCAAAAAAAAACCAAACCAAAACACCACGTCCACAGCTTTAGGTGCTTGCTACTTTGAAAGAACGCTTGGTCACTTTGAAAAAGCCATACCTCTCCTCCCAGGAAGGCTCTGGCAGGCTGCGGCTCACCCTGGCCTTTTTCTTCCCGTGCCGCGGTGCCCCTGTGGCTGTCACCAGGCTGCGATGCCCAGCGGGCAGGCGGAGCAGGGCGAGCGGCGGCCGCGGCGCGCAGCACAGAGCCATGGCGGGCACCGGACAGCGGCACGGGCCGGGAGCCGGCCCCGCCCCGGCACCGGCACGGCCCCGCCCCGGGCACCGGCACGGCCCCGCTCCGGCACCGGCAGGGACCCGCTCCGGGCACCGGCACGGCCCCGCTCCAGCAGCGGCAGCGGCGGCGGGCGGAAGGGGCCGGTGAGGGCCCAGGGCCCGGCCCCGCGCTCCCCGCCCCGGGCAGCCGCGGAGCTCCGGCGGGCGCGGCGCTGATGGGGGAGGGCTGAGCTTTCCCCCCCGTGCCGGTCGGACACGGGCAGCAGCTGAGCTGGCCTGGGACAGACGGAAAGCTCCGTGCCACCTGCCTCCGAGCCTGTCCGATGGGGTGCTCAGGAGTGCGGGGAGAGCAGCAGGGAGCCGCGTCACCTCGGCCCGCAGGGTGGCTGCACGTGTGGTCACACGGACAGAAGTGCAAGAACAGCCTCTCCCAGCCAGCCCCGCCGTGCCTCCAGCAGCTGCTCAGGGAACAGCGAGGAGCAGGCAAACACACGGGCACCCATGTTCACTTAATGTCTCCATCATGAAATATTTTCAGCGCTGGAGATTTTCTTAGACAGACGTGGCTTATTGTTTAGGGACCCCAGGACTTCTCTTGTCCCGTCTCCCTTTGATGTCACCTAAAATTCCTGCCGCCACACATCCTTTGGCCGAGGGGCTCACCCGCTCGCTGCTATTTGGGTGAATTGTTCTTCTGTGAACCTGGCTGCTGCGGTTTCCTCCAGGAGCTCCACAGCCTGGCCCTCTCCCGCCTGGCTCCGCTCCCGTCCCGCGTCCCGGAGGGGCCGGAGCAGGAGCGCGGGTCCGCCACTCCGCAAGGGGGAGCCACAGGCGCGGTGCTCGCCGCGCGTAGCCACGCCCCCGTGGGCGGGGTTATACCGCACGGCCACGCCCACCGCGGGCGGTGACAGCCGAGACGCGCCGGCCGCAGCAGCCGCGCCCTCGCCACGCCCCCTGCTCACGAGACGCCGCTGCGGGCGCTGATTGGCCGGCGGCGCGGGGCGGGGCGGGCGCTGATTGGCCGGCGGCGCGCGGCGGAGCGCGGCCGGCGCGGCGCGTCATTCCGCGCTCGGCCCGCGATGCTGTCGGCGGGCGGCGGCTCCGGCCCCGGCGGGGCGGGCGGCTCCGGGCCGGGGCTCGGCGGCGACGGCGATTTCCTGTCGCGGTACCGGCTGGTGTCGGCCAAGCTGCGGCGGCGGTTCCTGCGGAAACCGAACGTGGCGGAGGCGGCGGAGCAGTTCGCGGCGCTGGCGCGGGAGCTGCGCGCCCAGGAGAGCCTGCCCTACGCCGCCTGGTGCCAGCTGGCCGTGGCGCGCTGCGCGCAGAGCCTCTTCCACGGCCCCGCCGAGGCGGCCGCGCTGGCCGAGGCCGCGCGGCTCTTCCTGCGCCAGGAGCGGGACCTGCGGCAGCGCCTGGGGCTGCGCGGTGGCTTCGGCGAGCACGTGGCGGCGGCGCAGAGCTGCGGGGCCTTCGCCGCCCGCCTGCACCTGGAGCGGGGGCAGCCCGCGCTGGCGGCCGGGCCGTGCCTGGAGCTGGCGGCGGCGCTCCGCGACACGGGCCAGCCCGCCCGCGCCGCCGCGCCCCTGCAGCGGGCGGCGGAGCTGCTGACGGCGGCGCGGCTGCCGCTGCAGGCCCTGCGCTGCCTGGCCGAGCGCGCGTCCTGCCTGCTGCTGGCCCGCGACTACGCCGGGGCGCTGGCCGCGCTGACGCGGGCGCAGGCGCTGGCCGGGGCCGGGCTGGGCGGCGCGGCCGGGACCGGGGCCGGGGCCGGGGCCGCGCCCGGCGGCGCCTTCCTGGACGTGCTGGCGCGCTGCGAGGTGTCGCGGGTGCTGCTGCTGCTCCTGCTGCAGCCGCCGCCCGCCAAGCTGCTGCCCGAGCACGCCCGCACGCTGGAGCAGTACTGCTGGGAGGCTCCCGACGGCGGAGCGGGCACCGCCAGCGGCTCCGGGACGGGCGGGGGGCTGCCGCCGGCCGCCAGCTACCTGCCAGCCGAGCTGTTCCTGCTGCTGCAGTCGGCAGTGCTGGCGTGCCAGGAGAAGGACGCGGAGGCGCTGAAGGCGCTGCAGGCCGAGCTGTGGCCGCTGCTGAGCGCCGAGCAGAACCATCTGCTGCACCTGGTGCTGCAGGAGATGCTGAGCCCCGCAGGACAGGGCCTCTGAGCACCGCCGCCCGCAGGGACAGGTCGGACTGGTTGCTTCGGCCGGTGCCAGCACAGACTCTATTCCCTTATTTATTTTTAATACGAGCTCTGTAACGCAATGAAGTAATGGTTGGTGAGAGAAGGCGTTCATCTGCGTGTTTGCCTCGTGTCAGAGTTGCTCGCTGTATGTACTGAAAGTTGTCATGCTTGGAAGAAGTGTAACCCTAAAGCAGAAAGGCCATTTCAGGGCAGAAGGAAGCTGTTCATTAAAAGACTGGCTGCAATTTGCATGCGTTGGAGGATTTGGGTGTCTTTGAATCAAAAGTTGTTACAGTTGCTTTTTCTAAAGCAAACAAACCTCCCTATAAAAATAAGATACTCATTTTTCCCCCCTCCTGAAAACTGTCACTGCAGCCAACACGAGGCCCTGAGTTTTGTGGTGGGTGAAAGGAGTTGGTCACCGACCTGCGAGTGGTTCTTGGGGTATTGGTGGCTTGACTCCAGTCTCTGTAGCAGCTGTCAACCCAGAAAACGGTGCCAAATCCACTTCATCTGAGGGAATTTAGGAATGGAATTAATGGTGGAGGTGGTGGTTACAGGAATTACTGGAATGTGGACTATTTGTTTAATTCTTTTCAGCTGTTACCCATCTGCTCTCCGGCATTTCTGTCTCTTGCTTTCTGCTTCTTGAGACCTTTAGGTGAAGACAGCAACTCTTTAGAGGGGAAAAGACCCTGCTGTCTTTGGTGCACTCAGCTCTTGGGTACAGGCCTTGCTAAATTCCAGCAGTGCTACTATACAGCCTCAGGCAGGGCAGCCTTTATCCTGGAGGCTGGAGATGCCCCTGGGGCGTGTGTGTTGGATAAAGAGCAATTCTGGGGTACCCAGCTACTGGTGAGTGAAAGAAATGCTATCAGCCAGCTCTTCCAGAGACCCTGCAGGGGCCGAGGCTTTCAGAAGGAAGGCAATCCCGGTTGTACACCTGGAAGAGAAGCCAGAGGTTAGAGGTACTTGTGTTGAGCAGTGGTGTTACATCTGATCTTAATATTTGGGTCTGGAGATAGCAGTTTTTTCAAGCGCTTTTCCAGTGCTTGTTTTTCAAGTTTTCCTTACCTTCCACACTTAAATAATTAAGAACTTGCCATTTTCCCCTCTGAAACGCAGAGAAACTGCTAATTTTAAGAAGCCTTAATTACCCCAAGCCTCTTTTTGACAAGGTAAAATGATAGTTGAGAAAGGCTCGGACCCGAACTGGATGTTATTTTATGGCTAAGCCAGGCGTGGATGCGCCAGGCCGAGAGGTAAAACTGATAACCCATGCGGCGAGATTACTTATGTCCGTGTCCTTTTTAAATTCCAGTACCTGGAACTGCTGCTGGAACTGTAGCGCTGAGGGTGGATGTCCGGGGGCGGCGCGAAGGCGGTTCCCGAGCGGCGGGAGGGGCGCGGGCGGGCGGTGCCGGTGCCGGGGCGGTGCCGGGCAGTGCCGGTGGGCGGTGCCGGTGCTGGGGCAGTGCCGGTGGGCGGTGCCGGTGACGCGGCCGCGCGGGGCCCGGCGGGACGGGGCGGGGCGGGGCGGTCGCTGGCTCGGGGCGGTCGGTGGCTCCGGGCGGCGGGGCAGCACGCGGAGCGGCCATGGCGGACGGGGACGGTGCGCAGCGGTGGGGACCGGCGGGGGCGCGGGGACCCCCGGCGGGGAGGGGCGCGGCAAGGGCTCGGGGCCGGGGCGGCGCCGCTCGGGGAAGGGTCTGCGGGCGGCTCTGCCCCCCTGGGCCTTCGCCCCTCTGCCCTGCCGCGCTCCGCCGCTCACTCCCGGCCTGTCGCTCCCGCAGGGTCCAGCGTGAAGAAGCGGCGGAAGAAGGAGAAGCGGGCGCTCGCCGATGATGATGTAGCGGTGAGCGCGGGGGGGCTGATCGGGCCGTGCTCGGGGTGCCGGGGGGCTCCCCCAGCCCCATCCGTGCGGCTCCCCCAGCCCCATCCCTGAGGCTCCCCCAGCCCCATCCGTGCGGCTCCCCCAGCCCCGTCCGTGCGGCTCCCCCAGCCCCGTCCGTGCGGCTCCCCCAGCCCCGTCCGTGCGGCTCCCCCAGCCCCGTCCGTGCGGCTCCCCCAGCCCCATCCGTGAGGCTCCCCCAGCCCCGTCCGTGCGGCTCCCCCAGCCCCGTCCGTGCGGCTCCCCCAGCCCCATCCGTGCGGCTCCCCCAGCCCCGTCCGTGCGGCTCCCCCAGCCCCATCCGTGCGGACGCGTTCCGGGCCCGTGGGTCGGGCTGGGACCGGCTCTCCCCGCTCCATCCCGGCCCCGCGTGGCGGCAGCGGAGCGTCCCGGGCCACGTGGAGCGGCGGGAGCGCGGCCCGCCGGCTTCCCCCGCTCTGATCCCGCCCAACTTCGCCCCCCAGGACATCCAGCACACCGAGGACTTTCTCATCAAGCCCGAGTCCCGGGTGGCCCAGCTGGACACGTCGCAGTGGCCCTTGCTGCTGAAGGTAGGGCGGGTTCTGCCCGACCTCGTGGTCCGTCCGTGTTCCCGCTGCTTTTGTCCTCTGCCCCTGGAGGTGTAACCCCGCTGCAGGGAGCGCGCACGTGGTGCTCTGCCTGCAGAAATCCTGTTACTAAATCTCTTCAGCACTTTCATTTAAGTTTTGTGAGTTCTTCCTGCCTTGGAAAGATCCCGCCGTATTTCTTAAGTTTTTCGTTTGGGTTTGATCGTGGCCTGTGCTGTGTGTAGACTTCCAGGTTGCTTCTGCTGAGTTTCTGGGGAATGTTCAGTTTATCCTGCATTGTCAATGCATCTATTGTGCTGCTTTCCCATCTCCTTCAGTCAAGGATTTCTATTTTTTTCGCTTTTTGTAAAATAATATCGTTGTTTCATTGTTGGGTCATTTACATTTTGGAGGTGGTT